GACTTAATGCAGCCAAGCATCCAGTAAGCTTCTGGACATCGTGCACTCGCACAGGGCGTTTCATTCGGAGAATAGTGGCGATCTTTTCTGGATTAGCATCGATCCCTCGCTCGGAAACGAGAAAACCGAGTAACTTGCCACCAGGAACTCCGAATGTGCACTTTGATGGATTGAGCTTGATATCATACCTTCTGAGGTTGGCAAATGTTTCGGCGAGGTCGGCGAGCAGGTCGGAACCTTTTCGTGACTTGACGACGATATCATCCATATACGCTTCCACATTCCGACTGATTTGAGTGAGTGGACACTTCTGAATCATTCACATAAATGTGGCTCCGGCATTCTTGAGGCCGAATGGGATGGTGATATAGCAGAAGCACCCGAATGGAGTGATGAAAGCTGTTTTTACCTCGTTGGGTCCGTACAGACGGATCTGGTGGTACCCGGAGTAGGCGTCTAGAAAAGACAATCTCTCGCATCCCGCGGTCGAGTCAACAATTTGATCTATGCGAGGGAGAGGAAAATGATCTTTCGGGCAGGCCCGGTTGATGTGCTTGAAATCAATGCACATTCGGAGCGATTTGTCTTTCTTAGGAACCATGACGACATTAGCGAGCCACTCGGAGTGGTATATCTCTCGGATAAATCCTGCCGCCAACAGTCGAGCCACTTCCTCACCAATGGCTTTTCTCTTCTGGACGGCGTACCGCCGAAGATGCTCTTTGACTGGTTTTGCTGATGAGTCGACTCTTAGGCGATGCTCAGCCAGTCCCCTGGGAACACCTGGCATGTTAGTGGGCTTCCATGCAAAAATGTCCCAGTTCTCACGGAGGAACTGGATGAGCGCTTCTTCCTATTTCGGGTCGAGTGTTGTGGAGATGTGGGTCGGAGCTGCATCGGGGTCGGTCGGGTGAATGTGAACAGGCTTCGTCTCACCGGACGACTGAAATGCAGATTCTGTGGCGGGTTTCTTGGATCGCAGCAAATCACTCGGATCTGCGTTTTGCTTGTATTCTTCAAACTCGACCGCTGTCACCTGGGAATCAGCAATCTTTGAGCCCTTCTGAAAGCACTCTTCTGCCTTTTTCCGATCACCGGTGACAGTGATCACTCCTTTGGGGCCGGGCATCTTCAATTTGAGGTACACGTAACATGGTCGAGCCATGAACCGTGCATAAGCTGGTCTCCCCAAAATGGCGTGATATGCACTCTGAAAATCCACGACCTCAAACGTCAACTTCTCTTTGCGAAAATGTTTCGAATCACCAAACACCACGTCCAGAGCTATTTGGCCGAGTGACTCGGCTTTCTTCCCTGGTATAACTCCATGAAAGCTCATGTTACTGGTGCTCAGTCGGGACATCGGAATGCCCATTCCTTTCAGTGTGTCTGCATACAACAAATTCAGCCCGCTACCACCGTCCATCAGCACTTTCGTCAGTCGAGTGCCTTCGACAACTGGATCGACCACCAAAGCTTGCCTCCCAGGGGTGGCAATATGAGTCGGGTGATCAGATTGGTCGAATGTGATGGGTGTTTGGGACCATTTCAGATAATTTGCTTTTGCTGGGGTAACCATGTTCACCTCGCGGTTAATGACTTTCAATCGACTCTTGCTTTCCACATCTGCAAAGATCATCAGAGTGGAGTTGACATGCGGATATCCTTCCTCACTGTCCTCCTTGTCTTCGGCCTTGTCCGACTCCTTTTCCTTGTCTTTAGACTGTTTTCCTTGAAACTGCTGGATCAGGAGTCGACATTGGCGAGTGGTATGCTTCGGGTAAATGATATTCCCCTCTTCGTCTTTCTTCGTGTGGATGTGACACGGCATATCCATCACGTCGTTCCCTTCTTTATCCTTTACCTTCTTAGGGTTCCAGGATCCTTTTGGTTTCCCCTTAAACTTTCCATGAGCCACGGCCAGAGCCTCTCTAGGAGCTGCCGGTTCAGCCTTCCGCTTCTGTTTCCGACTGGTGTTTCCCTTCTCCGACTGGCTCGGCTTGTGCTTGCCGCTTCGGAGTCGGTCTTCTTCTTCACCGTTGGCGTACTTGGTAGCAATTTCCATCATCCGACTCAAGGTCATGTCACCGGTTCGACCAAATTTCAAACTCAATTCTCTGTTCTTGACACCATCCTTGAAGGCGCAGACTGCCTGATGATCAGACACATTCTCCACAGTATGGTGCAAAGTGATCCATCTCTGAACATACTCCCTGAGAGTCTCATTGGTCTTCTGCACGCAGACTTGCAGCTCCGTCAATCCAGCCGGTCGCTTACAAGTTCCTTCAAACGTTCTGACGAACACTCGGGACAGATCTTCCCAAGTGTAAATGCTGCTAGGAGGTAACTGATTCAACCACGCTCTGGCAGAACCTTCCAACATGAGGGGCAAATGCTTCATGGCCACCTCGTCATTCCCACCACCAATCTGAACTGCCACTCGGTAGTCCTCAAGCCAAGTTTCAGGCTTAGACTCACCGGTGAACTTGCTGACTCCTGTTGCCAACCTGAAATTGGGAGGAATCACTGCGGCTCTGATAGCTCTGCTGAAACATTCCGGACCAGAAACGTGCACTCGACTGCTCGTAGGCGCATCTCTGTCGAGTCCACCTCGATGGGCTCTATTCCGGTCGACCAAGCCTTGCACGATAATGGATCGCGCGTCGAAGCCTGGTTCTCTGGGGTCGACTGGAACTCTTCGCCCCGCACTGAGCTGACGTCTGTCATCTTGCTGCCGAGGAGCGTAAGACCCACCCCTCGGAGGGGAATTGGGCACTCGACGCCTATCATCTCGGTCGTGTCGGTCTCCATATTGGTCTCGCCGATTCTCGCGCCCTTCACGCCGCAGAGGCGATCTGGGGCTGTGAGCCGACTGAACCGTATTCGCAGCGATGGATCGACTGTGAATTCTGTTGCGCGACTGCGACACGGCTGAATTCTGATCTCCTGCTGCCCGGAGTAGATCCCTGATCTGCATCAAGCCTCTGCCAGCTTCCGACTGAGAGGGCTGGATGGACTCTGCAATACGGGTCGCAGCTGCTAAATTCTGGATTGGGGTTCGATATACCTGAGTCGGCGGGAAGAGTTGACGTCGACTGGTGTCGGGAACTCGTTGCCGCGCGCGCTCGTCGAGTGCTCGCTGAAGATTCTCTAGGCGAGCGCGTTCGGCCAAATTGGCCAAACGTGCCTCTTCCAAGGCGCAAGCCTCGGGGGTTTCTCCTGCGATGGGAGTATGCAGGGCATCCATGTTCTTGCGGCGAAGTTCCTCTCTTTGCAGAGAGTCGAGTGGCTCGGGCTGGTACTCTTCTTGGTCTCGTGCGGGGTCGCCTCCATCACCTGCGCCACCATCGCGGGCGAAGCCAGGGGGGCTGCGAGGCCCGTCGACCATCAGGATTTCCGCCGCTGGATCACTGCTATCGCATTCGGATGCAGTCTCTACGGAGCCAGTCGACAGATCGAACACGCCGTAGAGAGATTCGTCGGGCTCGATTGCCGCAACTTGGATGGTGGCCGTCTGGCGAGCCACCGCGTGTCTCACCCACCGCTGAAGCCTCGACCGACCCGAGCGCTTGTGCTGGCGGGAGACCGGGAGGGTGGTCGATAGGGGAGTCGACCGATATGGGGTCGACGGTTGCCGCAGCAGAACGCCGCGGACACATGCGCGAAAATGCGTCGCACCGCGGACGGGGAGCGCATCGACGTCGAGTGGAGCCTCCTGGAGCCAGGCGGAGTCGTCGGCGACGAAGGTGAGAGCACCGAGACGAATCTCTCGACTCTCGACCAAAACTCCAGCAGCTACCATGATGAAAGTACTCGGAAGAATCGCAACTTCTCCACAAAATCGCTAAAACACCCGCCCCACGGTGGGCGCCAACTGTCGTGGATCTAAGTCTGACAGTAGAGTGGGGGTAGGTATGGAGAGGCAAGGTCCTAGCTATGGAGAGGTTGTAAGCACAAGAGATGTACGAGTTCAGGCCCTTCTCGGAGGAAGTAAAAGCCCTACGTCTCGGAGCCCGGAGGCGGTCGAGTGGATTATGTGTATATGGATTACAGGGTGCCGAACCCTTCTGCCTGTTGAGGGGGGTGGCTTATATAGAGTGCGTCAGGACCCCAGCCAACCCACGTAATGAAGGGTTTAAGGTACATTAAGTCCGGGGCGTTACTGGTAACGCTCCACATAAAGTGTCTTTACTATCATAAAGTCTACTTAATTACAGACCGTTGCAGTGCAGAGTGCCTCTTGACCTTCTGGTGGTCGAGTGAGTCTTCGTGGTCGAGTCCTTCAAGTCAGTCGAGTGAGTCCCTCGTAGCTCGTAGGTCGACTGGAAGGTGATCTCTTCTAAGGGTGTCCTTGGGCAGGGTACTTAGATCAGGTCTGTGACCCCACCCTAGGTATATGACTCCATCAAGCGCCCTGTGCAATTCCTCGACTGTTTGACACCGCGAGCGTCAAACGGGAGGGCTCCCAGGGGAGAGGCACGGCGGCCAGGGGCATCTCCTTTGTTTATCCGCCGCTTCCCTTCGTCACCAGTAAATAGCAATCATGGCACCGCATCATTCACTTGCCTACCATAGATTGACTGCTGATGCGGGCGCTTCACTCCACTACTCCATCTCATGTTGTATATTTCCTCTCTTTATATTCAAATAAAGTATAGCATGTAAATATGTCTAAATTCAGAAATAACGGTTTCCCTTCTATCTTCACTTATACTGTTTCGGTTAGTAAAAATGTAACTAAATTCAATGGATGGTGTTATTTGAAGCTAGATTATAGGATTATTCAATGGATGAACTTGCTTCACCGAACAAGCTGCTCTTCCATGTCCGAAAGAAGTCATGAGGCACTCTTCCATGGGCGATGAAGAGATAAGCCCAGCCCACTAATAATTTGTAAAAGCTTTGTCGGCCCGCTACAAACATATAGGAGTACAAAATGACAGGAAGAAGAAGAAAAAACATGAGACGCTCTACTCTGCTCTGCTCCCTCCAATGAATGCTTATGATTGGCCGACGGCGACGCGGAATCGGGCCAGGCCGACCTTGGAGCCGGTGGCCTTCACGTCCGCCTGCACCTGCTCCCGGAACTCACGGTAGCTGAACCCCCTGTACACCTCCTCCTGACGACAAGCTGACGCCGCGCCGACGATGACGGCGTCCTCCTGCGGGAACGCGAAGTAGCAGAGCGACATCCTGTCCACCTCCGTCCAGGCCGGCGCCACCACCCGGTGGTCCGGGCTCCGGTACGCGCCCCCGCTCATCGCCTGCAGCATGTCGCCCACGTTCACCACCAGCGCTCCCTCCACAGGCCGCACCGCAAGCCATCTCGCCTCCTCCTTATCCCGACCCCCACGCCCTCGGCAGAGCACCTGCAGGCCGCCCACCATGTCCTGGTTCAGGATGGACAGCACCGAGCTGTCCGTGTGCGCCTCCATCCCCAGCCGCCGCCGCCCTGGCGCAGTAGCCGGGTAGCGGTACGCCCGGAAGATGCTGCCGCGCTCCGTCAGGTACGACGCGCGCTGCTCTTCATCCAGGCCCAGCTCGCCGCTGGCCAGGGCGTCGAACAGCTTCCGGGCGATGCGCGCCATGTGCGCCACGTACTCCCCGCTCACCGCCTCCATGAACTCCGCCAAGGCAGTGCCGCCTGCTTCACCGTCAGCACCATCTGGACAAGAATGACAACGGTCGCCGGTGTCGTCGGCCTCGACGTGCAGCCCCTCGAGCCAGTTGAGCTGTTTGACGGGCAGCGCCGCCAGCGCCGGCGTGCCACAGAAGTAGCCCGGCAGCCGGGACTTGTTGGCCGCGTCCAGCTCCAGCAGCCCGCGCGCCAGCCCGAACAGGCGGGCGGTGAGGCCGCTGGGGACGCCATGGTTGACCAGCCGGAACACGCCTGGGTCCCGGCACGCTGCCGCCAGCTGCTCCATCAGCCTCGGCTCCTCCGCCTCGAGGTCTACAGTGGACACCTCCAGCTCCTCCAGCTCGCACTCGTCCGGCAGATGCTCCATGGATCCCCTGCTCGGCTGGATCAAGCGCTACTTGAGTTGATGGATCTAGAATTCTACTAGAGATACAAGAGGGCACGCAAAGGGACAACCTTTACCTTTTGTTTATACTCTAGTGGACAACTGATGATGAGCAGAGCAGACTTTGCTCTTTGTCTGTTAGCTTCTTTTGTCGGCTAGTATGCCTCACTATTTCTTTTTCCCTTTCATCTAAATAGCCTACTATCCTAAATTTTTAACTCCTAAAAAATTATGGAGTTAATTTACAGATACATTTCGACATCACTATAAAGAAAAGTAAAATAAAAAACATTTTGGCCGTTTCGATGGAAACTTCGCATGGGTCGGCGGCTAGAGGTCGCACATGCCACCAGAGCTCGAGAGGAAATGAAACTCGCGGTGGCGCGACCACGAATGGTTAGGGACATGGGCTGAGGGTCAATGTAGTTGAAGAAGTCACGGCGTTTTGAAAAGTTAAGTTTAAGGCACTCCTCAAAATTGAGCGGGTTGAGCTGTATTTAAGGACTAGAAGAATGGCTAGTTCTAGGTTAACTTCTCAAAAAGAAAACTTTGAGAAGGGGTTATAGATACTTTGAGTTGGCTTAGCTTTTCCAGGATGTCTTAGATGTACTTATGTTTGCTAATTGTCATTCAATCTCGATTTTTTGCCACCTCAATGTGAATCTCAACACCAAGACAACAAACGACGACATAAAACGAACTAGATGATACTCCACATGTTGTTGTGGAAATTATTTGTTATATATTTTGATGAAGTTGAAACATGGATATTTGATTATTGAATATATGTAAGATATTTGTGGAATACAAGTACTCCCTCCGTCCGGAATTACTTGTCGCCGATATGGATAAAAATGGATGTATCTAAAACTAAAACATGTCTACATACATCCATTTCTTTGACGAGTATTTCCGGACGGAGGGAGTAGTGTAATAGTTTTGACATGCATGGTTGAATGGTTTGATTGATCTTTTTCCATGCATCTCATCTTAGCATGTCGTTGTGGTGGAGTCTGGATGTACTAAGCCTCAGCCACCAAATGTGCCACCTGGATGCCACATCCTGTTTGGGCCCATTTCTGTCCTGTGGTCGAGCCACATACGGCCAACCAAGGTGATGCCCACTGGCTTGGAATGTCCTGGCTTCAAGTAGGCTACTTCCTTCGTCCTTGAAACAGTGTACTTCCAATTTTGTTGGAAAGTCAAACTTTTTTATGTTTGATCGCATTTACACAATAATAGACCAACATTTATGCCATCAAATTAGTAGCATTAGATTCATGATAAAATATATTATCGTCATTTCACCAAATATTCTATAGATGGCTCATATTAATTTCTTTCCAAAGATAGGCAGTACTTAAGTATAATCATTAATTATGTGTACATATCTTATACCAAAAGATATCCTCCTATCTATATTCATTAATTTTTTTCCATATAAAGAATACGAAATGATATGCTCTCCCCAACTATAAATACACAGACCAAACCTTCTCACCAATCATGTTCAATTCACAATCCAAAAACCACAAGAACACAAGATGAGAATTCGATTCTTACTCCTCACCGTCCTCCTTATATCTCTCCAATGCAATGCTTATCCGGTTAATGGAAGCGAGAAGGTGACAAACATCCGCTTCTACCTTCACAACACCCATAGTGTGAATGATCCATCCTCGGTCCTTGTCGCCGAAAACAAGAATGCCACAGCTCATGCTCATGGCTTAGTGCCCTTTAGCTCCGTCTACGTGTTTGATGACGTGCTCACCGAGGGGCCTGCGAGTACTTCTAAGGTGATTGGGAATGCACAGGGTATGTACGTTGAAACGGGGAAAGATGGGTACACGATATTGGAAACTATTGATTGTGAGATGACAGATGGTCCGTTCAAAGGCAGCTCGTTCGTGATGTTCTCAAGAAATCAATTCAGTAAACCAAGCAGAGAGCTCCCCGTTATTGGAGGCCGTGGTGCATTTCGAATGGCCAAAGGGTACGGCTTGCTCAGGACCGTATGCATTAACTGCATCAACTCCGTGAACCCGTCCAAGGGAGATATCATCGAGTATAATGTGACTCTATATCTTCATTGAGTTTATATATGGTTGCCATGTGTTCCTTGTAGCGATAATAACATTAATGGATGATTGAGTTTCCTAGTTATTGTGCTTTGCAAAATGCCGGCTCAGACTATCATGTTAAGCTTGCAAGTCACTGCTTTGCCAATAATTATCATGTCTTACTATTTGTAGTCGCACTACGAGAGCCAAATCATTTGCTAGCTTTTGGGCCTTCATGCACCTTTCATTTCAAACTAGCAGCCAACAGAACGAGCGTGTTGCAATAACAATAAATATAAAACTGAAAAGTGTATGCCAAAACCTGTGACGCATGTACCTTTCACCGCATCTGACAATTATAATATTAAATTAGCACGGTATGATGCATTTTGAGTAGAAAAAAAATCAGCTTTTGGTTCATTCCAGCCAACAAATTGAAGCAACCAAGACTTTACCTCAATATAATGCACCATCTATAAAATAGTAGGACTTTGAGTAAGCATGCATAAGTAATCAATTAAACATATGTCAAACTACTTATAAGAACTTCATATTATTATCGTTTAGATCGGAATGATTTTTTTAGTGTTTTTATGTTGTGTTGTGCCTTATTGTAGCGACCAGACCTCAAACAGTCTGATCTTTGTGCATCAGTGTCATCCCTGGATCGGTAATGCTGACACGCACAGTATTTGAGGATTTATAACAGAGTAGCAATCACACACTTATTACATCGAATGTCTCAAAAGAGAACTTATTACAATAAATATGGCTTAAGGCCATCTAATATGATAACAGCGGAAGGCTTGGATGATAAAGTGAGTCCATCAACTCCAACGGCATCACCGAGTGAAAGACCACGACCTAAGGCTCCTTACTCGTTGTCTGACAAGTCTGCAACATGATACGTTGCAGCCCGAAACAGGTCAGCACATGGAATATGCTGGCAATTGTAACACAAGAGAGTAATGAACAATGTAAAGCTATCACTACATGCATATATGGCTGGTGGAGGCTGTATGATTAATAGGTTTTGCGAAAAGCCAATTTTTCCCTACTGCAAAGGGATATATTTTATTTAACTACAAAGTTGGTTGAAAACATTGAGAAGGTAAACCCCCTCTCAATCCCAATTAAAATTAATCATTAACCCAACAAAATTAATTTAGAGTGATGAGATCCACATGATAATCCAAAAACTAGATACTCAAGATGTTCATATCCGGGGACACGGCTAACCATGATTAGTTTGTACACTCTGCAGAGGTTTGTGCACTTTACCTCATAAGACTCGATCTCCTCCATTGGATTTCTCGCACTACAAGGTGTTTGAGAAACGGATGGCCGAGACACAATCTTTCAGAAGCGTTAGCACCTTACGATGGGTAGACCGGTACACCTACATCCCCTACATCTGCTAGTCTATCACTATAAGAGTTCACACAACTTAATCAACTATGCCAGAGCCCATAATGGTATGTGGCTGCACACGGAAGTTTCCAACATGAATAATCTTATGATCCCTTTGAGTCTGGGTGGCGGTCCATAGGAAAATCACACAGTACCTCGGGATTTTCAAAAATACAGGCAATCACTGGGTTCCCCAGGTGCCTCAATCCACCCAGCTGTGTATTAAAGTTTGCCACCTTAAGTTGAACCATTAAGTAAACAATCTCACAATCTGTCATGGAATACACTCAAACCCAAACCACGGCTACTAGCATAACATAGCAATATAAGCAACGTAGAAATAACTCCCAGGGTTTGATAATGAAACAGGTGAATAGGTACTACCTTATCTACTTCCCAACCCACAATTTTTCAGATCCTAACCATGAAAGTGTTTCAGGATTGATCTAATGCAATAAAACTGGGTAGTAAAAAGGTATGATCAAAGTGTTACTTGCCTTGCTGATGATCCGGGAAACCTAGAGACTCGATGTAGCACGCTTCGCACTCCGGGTACTCTATCGCAATCAAACAAGCATACAATAAGCAATCAAGCAAGGGCACGGGTAAAATTCAAATAAGAAGTCTAACCATAAAGTTCAACTTAAGAACTCTGGTATGCAAAAAAATCAAATCAAATGGAGCAACGAAACTCAAACTGCGAAAGAAACAAGCTTCATTTACTAATCTGCACTAAAGTCAGATTTTACAGTAGCAAAAACTTGTTTAAGTTGATTAAACGGAAAGAGGGTTTCGAGACGAAACTCTAGGTGCTTGAATCGCCTGATTCCGATAAACGAGCGAAAAGTTATACTAAAATGAAAATCGGATCAGAAATCGCGATCGAAAAATAATCGCGGAAAATCCGAGAAAAAGAAAATTGACGAACAGGCTAACAAACGAACGTTCGCTGTCTGCGGCTAAACAGTGAAAACCGTTCGTTAAAACGAACGTAAAAACAGGCGTTCGCTAAATAACTAAACCGAAAATAAACTGAACCGGATCTAAAATAAAAAAGGGATCTAGGGTTTCGAAAAAAACCAAACAGTTTTCTCGCGAAAACCGAGGCGGCTACCTCGGGTCCGGCGGTGGTCCGGCGACGGCGGGGCGGCGCGGCGCGGCGGCGGCGGCGCGGCGGCTAGGATTTCGGGGCTCAGGCTGATGGGCCTCGGGGCTCGGCCGGCGCGGCTTATAAAGCCTCCCCGGGCGGAGTCCCGCTCGGGTACGGCCCGGTGTCGGTTTGACTTTTTTTAAATAAAAATTCTGACATGCAGAAAAAGAAAGAAAAGAAATACTAAATGGACTCCAAAAATTCCGAAATAAATTTTCTCCGTCCTCTAAAATAAGCCGGACAAGGTGAACATTTATTTGGCCCTAAAATGCAATTTTGAAAAACACATTTTTTCCTAATTCCAATAAAATAACAATAAAACTCCGAATAAAAATATTATTTGATTTTAATATAAAATCTTC